TGCTCGTGTTCACAGGGATTCAATTATTCAAGGATAGAACACTTCGGGCCTGCTTGGATACCTCCAAAATCATGGTTTGAAAGACAAAACTATAATTTGGATGGGATATAACCCAAACAGTATCAATTTTTTCAGAACCTTGGTTTGTTCAGAAACCTTGATTTGATGCCGTAAAACCATAGGTTGCCTAGAAGTGAAAATTTGTCCTTTTTGAAGACTGAAATTTGAATCATTAGAGTGATAATGAACAAGAGGGCCAACCGCATATTTGACCAAAAACAACCCAATTATTTCACCCATTATTTCACCAACTCGCAATCACCCACCGGTCACAAATATCAATTATTTCACCCATTACCTAGCGAAAAAAAAATCATTTTTCTATTAATTATTTGTTAATTATATCATCTTATATATCATTAATTATGTTAGTAAAAATTATTTTATTAACAATTTTATTTATTCAAATCAAAATATATTATAAAATTTGTCCCCTATATAGTTATCATATTAACTTATACTTTTTTTAGTAATTTGCACATATAAAAAGTACTTCTGGTAACAACTATCCAAATGCTCTCACTTCTCAAAATCATTTTTTTACAAAATTTATTCTTCACAAAATCTATTCTTCCCATAATCTATTATTCAGAAGCTATTCTCTAAACCATAATTTAGTTTCATCCAAACACCTTCTTAAAAGAAAAAGCTTGACTTTTGATTACTTTGCGCCCCTCGGAATAATAACGTGGGAAACACTATCCCCGAAGAGAAATGATTAATTATATGAATCCCATATACAAAAACGGGTAATTGCAAGGAAGCTGGGCGTGTATATATAAATATATTATTTCTGATCTTTAATCTAAGAACTATTTAACTAATTTAAATATATTAAAAAAATTAGTTAAGTTAGGTATTTATAATAAATATAGGTTGATTTTCAAAAAATTTCTTTTTTAATCATGATTATTATTAGATAAAAATTTCTTAATACGTGTAATCAATAATAATACTTTAGTAAATAAATTATAAATTTAAAAGACAAAATAAATTACGGTGTTATAGCAAAATTCAAAGTCCCACTATCTTTTAGTCTTTTGGAGATGATACTTCATTTTGTTTCTATCTCTTTTCTTCGAAAGTGAATGTGCATACTGTTATACTACTAGCAAAGGAGACGAGAATATTTTCTTGATTCGAGAACACAATTGTTTTTTATTGACGACGAGGTTAGGCAGAAAATGGTGAATGCCATGTGACTCCACATGAGCAATTTTGATCAAACAAATTTATTTAACGGTCAAAATTTAACTTTTATAAGTTTTTTAGATAAGATGCACTATTAATTAATGTTTAATGCAGTTTTTTTAAAAAAAATATTCGCGATGGCGCGGAGGGTTGTGAATGCCATGTGACTGCACATGAGCAATTTTGATCAAACAAATTTATTTTTGGTCTGATTTAGGTCTTTCCTGGCTTCTTGCTAATAAAAATATAAAATCTTTTATGGGAGAATTTTCATCAATTATGTGCTCCTGGTACTGGCCCGTTGATATTAATGTTAACTCTCATTTTCTTAGACGATTAAATTTAAATTAAAAGAGCAACCAGATTACAAGGTCAAATTTGGAAAAATATCTGAAGTCCTTGTTGGATGCATATAAAAATTAGGGTAAAATACACTAATTTCTATTTTATTTAAATTATAAATTTTTTAATTTATTTTGGAAATGCATATAAACTTTGGTTTGTGTTAAAAGGAGTAATTGGATGAAATCAAAACCATGGTTTTTAAAAGTGTTTTATGATATACAAAGTAAATATGTAGAGGAGTTTATCTTGATTTGTAGAAAAGCACTAAACCCGAACACCTGAAAATGCATGTTACATAATCATCCTTTATGTATTTAACATTTTTTTTCTATTTACCCAACTATTAATTGATTATTAACTTCAACTTTTAAATTTTCATTTTGACTAAAATTCCTTCTTTAATATAAGAATTATTTAAAAATGTATATTTGCTAAAAGTAATTTTTTATGCAACAAAAAATTTGTACATATTTTCAAATTTTTTAATACGTTGTAAAATTTGCAAATTTTAATTATATCATAAAATTTTCTAATTGTAAATTTTCCTTACATTCATTGAAATTTATTAAATTAATTTTTTAAATGGTCAAAATACATATTTCGAATGCATATTTTTAGAATATCTATAAGAGTTAACTATTTAAATTTAAGTGCATGTTTTTAAAATAGAAGACTTGTAAATTTAGATTCAATTACATGTTTTTAAGATAGATAATGTGTAATTATGACAGAATACGATGGGGATTAGAGCATTTTACTTTAAAGATTATTCATGAGAATTTAAGGGACACGTTCTAATCAAGTTCACATACTTTAATAATTTCTATTAGGATTAATATGATTTTTTATCCCTTAAGTTTGTGCTTGTTTTTATTTTAGTTCTTTAAGTTTTAAATTAATAGGTTTTGGTCTCTCAAAAGATAAAATATCCAAATTTTTATTAAATTATATAGATTAATATTTTAAATAAAAAAATTTGAGAGAATAAAACTTATAATTTAAAATCTAAAAGACTAAAATTAAAATGAGAATAAAATAAAAGGATTAACAATTGTATTCAACCTGTTATTATTATTGAAGTCACGCTACCTCCTTGATCGTCTCGTCCTACTGTGAACTGTCCCCATCATGCGATGGAGACATCCAATACCCGATAGTGCTCATTAAACAAATATTAAGTTGAAGACCATGATTAAATTAATCAGCTTCTTAATTGCCCGTGATTGACGCTGATGATTTCTTTAATTTTTTTGTTTTCATCGTGTGGAAAAGTTGACAAACAAATGTAACAAGTTTTTTTGGTTAAAAAAAAATCACCATCTTTATGAAAGCAAGTGCTTATCTGGGTAATTTATTTAACGGTCAAATTTAATTTTTATTTTTATTTGAGCATTATTAAATATTTATTTTATATTTAAGTAATCTTTGCACTATTTATTTTATAATTTTATATATCACATATAATCCAATAAAGTAGTTATCAAAGCATAAATTATATGGACAATTTTTTTAACTCATCATAACAATGTTGTTTCAGGTCTAAAAAAGATGGAAAAAAATATAAAATTTAAATCGGTTGACCTAGTCAAAATTCTTGATCAAATTGATTAGAGGACTAGTTCATTAATTTATTGGTTTGATCGTTTGACCTGGGTTGAGTTCTAATACTATGGGTAAGTATAAAGTTTTTAAATTATTTTCTTCTTTTTAAGTTTTATAAATTTTAATAAGTTGATTTGCTCATTCATTTATTGATTGGTGCATGTTGATAATGGGAAAAAAGGGCAAAAGGATTTAATAAGGCATATCCTCTTTGGTAAGTATGGGAGAGTTCCACTAAGGCACATAACGTGTTGGTGCTTTGTCCCCTAAAGATTCAACATTTCATCCATATTCTTTTGATTCACCTACCCCACCGCTTTATTCCTTTCTTTTTTTCTCCTCCCCCACCTTCCTTCCTCTCATCTATTTTTTTTTTTCCTTTCTTTATCTGAATTTCTGTCTCTCTCTGTACTATATGGACATATCTGTATATAGTACATTTACACCACGTATCAAAATATCACAAGCAACAGAGTAGATATTTGATTGAAAATAGAGATCAGGATGATCATATATATCACTGGGATGATTAGTCTATGCGGATTATAGTAAATGTTATTAAGTGAGATGCTATTAATTATTTTGGTCTATGATATATATAATACTAATTAGGACGATTATTTTCTGTTGTTTATGTTAGGGGATGAGACAATTATTCCTTCGGAGGTTATAACATATGATGTGTTGGTGTGGCTTATTTGAACTCTTAAAGTAATTTTTAAAAAATCTCTTTGTGAATATTTGTTTTGCTGAGTACATATATCTTTTTTTTTTTCTAAGGAAATTTTGTTCAAAATACTATTAGGTATTAAATATAAGCACATCTTCCAACGAAATCTTGAACATTGATTCATTACTTTATAAGGGACTATTCTATTCCAATGAAATTCATAAATGAAGTAGTTAATGGTAAGGTTATCATTATCCTTTTTATGGTTACGAATCTTGTATGTTTTCTTAAAGTATCTAAATATAAAAAATTTAGATATTTGTACCCTTAGTACTTAGTTGTCTTTATCATACAACTTTAGGAAATAGTTATTTGACTATTTGGATTGTGCATGTACTTTATATGAGGTGATGATAATGCAATGTGTAATTTGGCCTTGGAGTTCTTGTTCTGCAGATTTCCTTGAGTTTCCTGAACTTTCAGGGTGATTAAAAAAAAGAAAAAAGCAGTGTGGGAGACATTGAAAAATGTGGTTGGGTCACTTTGGTTGGGTTTGTGCCTCTTGTAGGCTGGCATTCTGCTAGCTCCTTTCAAAAATTTGGACCCAAGCCCATATGAACTTATGCAATAAGACTAAATACCTTATACTCTCTTTGAATCTAAATATAAAATTTAAATTCATTTTTTATGAATTTTTAGTCTGCAATCTACCAAAAAAATTATTGGTTGAAATAACATAGGTTCTTTACTTCTTTATAAGTAATATTTCTATCTTTTTTGGCTAGTAAGTAATATTTCTATTTACTTGAAGTTTCACATAATATTTTGATTAAATTTAAAACACTATGATAGTGTTTATATGCGAGATGAACAAGTAACTAAACATAAGTCGCTAATAAATTAGAGATAAAGGAAGAGAGATTTGGACACCATAAGAATTATCCTGGTTCGGTCCCCTGACCTACATCCAGTCCTCTTGAGAAACGCTCAAGAGATTTTCCCACTATGAAAGTCCAATTACAGTCCCAATAACTTATACAACAAGTTCACCTAAAATTCTTACAAGTCACAACTCTAAAATTTTTACACAGCTTGCTCATAATTAGTATCCAGACCCCATACTAATAAAACATATGGAAAAAGTATTTTATTGCATAAATTGCACTCCAATACTCAAATTTCAACAATACTATTCAAGAAGTATACAATCAATCTTCAATGGACATTGATGAGGCTCCTTCTTCTGCATTTCTTTTATTTATTAGTCCAATGACTAAGTTCCTCTTTGACCACTATCAGTTATTCTTTGCTCCTTGATTCTGCAATAAAGACATGTGGATCAATCAGGATCCATTTTATCAATTCCATTTGAAATAATTTGAAGAGTATTTATTATTATCAAAACTAATAATTGATTGGCTAGCAGTCAAAGATTTGATTCTTAACACATTGAAATTAGTAAACTAAACAATGAGACTCGTGTGGTCCAAATCTGATCATTTACCTTCAAATTCCAAAATTGGAAGGTGTTTGTCAAAAATATTCAACATAATCACTGCACATCCATTTTCTGACCTGATTTATGCAAACAAAATATCATATTAATTTTAAGAAACTATCGTAATATACTAAAATGAGCAAAAAAAATACTGCAAGTGGCTAGTTATTCAACAAAAAGTGATGTCCAGGTAAATCAAAGAGTGTGAATTAAGACGCTAATCTCAACAAATTGAGCTAAGTATCTACTAATACCAAATCTAGATATCACACCTTGAGTTGTTGCATTGTCCTTATTATTGCTGAAGTAAAATAGGAATTGAGGAGGAAATTCAATTCTGCCCCATGCCAATTGTCAATTGCGTAATACCCACAATGCCGTTAATGTTGAAACCTGGAGAAGCACAACGCCAGAAATCAAATTTTGCATCCAACTTATAAAATGATTGAAATGAGAAACAAAGCAATGCCCTCTTTTTTGGTAACACATAGAAATCGGGACCATTGATAATTTTTTCCCTTAACTCTTGAATTACCTGCCTTCCTTACTTCTCATATAACTGTTTTCTTCAAAACAGAGCAATTCACCTAGTTCCCTCACCTATTTCGACATGATTCATTAAAACAAAATACTACTATTAGATTAAATTCTACAGCATATGAATATGCTTTCAATCTCAATAATTAAAAAGTAGTTAGTTTAACCAAAATGCATTACCTAAGATTTGCCATCTTCAAGAAACATCTGGCCATTGCTCTGCTTATTGAAAGCCAATAAGTTCCTGCTTATGCAATTGTAGATCAAGTCATTGAAAAGAAAAGGAAAAAGAAAAAGCAACATCCAAGGAAAAATTGTCAGTCAAATTTTAGTTTTGTGCTTTTCGAGTCATTTGTGAATATAAAAATAAGATATTTTCTGTCACTCAAAGCTTCATATGAGGACCATATTAAATTAAAAACATTGAAGTTAGCAAATTTCTCTAACAAGCAATGAGCCTCATACAGACCAGGCTATCTAATCCTATACCTTGGAATACCAATCTTGAGACGGTGATGCCATAAAACCCTCAAGGACAAATTACAAGAAGGCTTAACAAATATTTAACACAAAAAAATGGAGAACCATCACCTTAACAAAATTACATTATATTTCAAAATGGCGATTGTTTAAGGCAAAAAAAAAAAAAAGTTGATACTCACATGAGCTTCTCGTGATGAATCAACTCCCAGTTTGAGCCAAAAACAGAAAAAAATTCCCAGAGATGATGGCTTTTGATGACAGGAAAATAGAGAATTTGAAGCAGAGGATTATTTTGAAGGCACTTTGCCTTGATGGTCTTCAAAAGCTTTTGGTAACTTTGGAGTTTCAATTCTGCCACAAAGCTTCAGAATCTGCAATGTGAAGAAGTAACACGAAAATGGAAATCAATTCGTAACCGAACATATGCTCATATGTGGTAATGGAAAAATATATGTTTTCAATTTTATTTATTAAAAATTTGATGCGATATTAATAATATTTTGCCGAACATGAGAAGTAACAAACTCTTCTTCTTCTTCTTTTTTTTTTTTATAAAAAAAATAGTGTGTCTTTGTAAGAAAAGAAAAATTGAATAGAATGTTTTACAAGACTCAGTCCCCTCCCCCCCTCCCTTTCAAACTAAATATTGCAGAAGCATCATTAATATGATGCTCCCGTGTAAGCAAATTTTTGAATGTGCGCGCGCGCGTGGGGCATAGGCAAGATGTACCCATAAAATGTTGGTATCTATTCGATGATCACGAAGGGAATATATCATATGTGGGTTGTGAAAAAGAAAAAGGAAAAAAAGTATACATATTAATAGATACTAAAATGATGAAATGTTGTGAAATTTGAGAGCTCACCTTTTGAAGCAATATAATGCACCATCTCATGGATCGTAGTATTCTCCATTGATTTGTATGGTGGGAATATGAGCGATCTTGGACAAGTGTTTCCCTCTCTCATAATCATATCTCTCTTCTAATTTTGGACAGCCATCGATTTTCAACAACAAAAGAGAGGATGGCAGCGCATCTTCTGGCAAGAATTCAAGGTTCTCACAGTTCCAGATGTAGAGCTCTTTAAGAGAAGTAAGGTGTTGAAGCCCTTTTCCTTCTAACAATTTAAGATTGGACACATACTCGATGAAAATCCACACAAGAGAAGTGGGTAGTAATTGATTCTTTAGTAAATTATGGAGAATACTTTCACTTCCATCATTCGAAACATGAAACGACGAGAGAGAAGTCAGGCGTTGAAACCCCCAGTCTTGGATTGGTATAGAAGATAGTCCATTATAGCCCCCAATAGTAAATGATCGCAAGTTAGAAGGCAAACCGCCTTCAGGCAATGATTCCAACTTCGAAACACAATTTAGGAGAAAGTCTCGAAGGTTGGCAAGGGAATCAACGTGTACTTCTGACATTGATCTAAGTTTGTCACAATTTTGAACCCAAAATGATTCTAAGGCAAGAGCAGATCCCCCAACATGTGTAAAGGTCTCCAAATTATGACATCTGCAAATGTCAAGCCGTTTAAGCTTGGGAAAACAACCTAATGGAAAAGATTTCAAGGAAGGACAACCATTCCGAATTGTCAAGCGTTCAAGTGATGTGTAGTTTTGCCAAGAATCCTGAGGAAGGAACTCTAATTTCTCACAACTGTCAATTCGAAGTTGTTGTAGAGACGTGGGCAAACCATCAACTGGGAAGGACATGATGGATGGGATATTTACGAGAGACAACTTTTGAAGACAACGACCACCCATTATCATTCTTGGCAAAGACCGCAAGCTATCACACTCCTTAATTGTTAGAGATTCCAAAGAGTCCACAGATAAATCATCAAGTGCTCTCAATAACCCCTGTTCACCTCGCTTAATGTTTAATTCTTGAATAGATGTAATCCACTGCAAAGTTGCTGATTTTGCCTTCAGTTGTTTGCAGTATGATATAGAAATATTTGTCAATGATGGAAGGTTGTGGGGCATGTCTCCCCGCAGCAGGGGACAATAATGCAAACTCAAACTTTTGAGTCGAGGGAAAGGAAATTTGACACCTTCACCATCAAACAACATCCATTCCTCCCAATTATACATATATTCAAATATGAGAATCTCCAAAGATGGAAATGGCTGAAATGAAGAGTACCCGGGCTTGCTACAATAGAATTCATGTCCAACAGTATGCACTAATCCCATTCCACCAATCAAGAGCTCTTTGAGAGAAGGTAGTTCTCCAAACGGTGGGAGTGAAAAACAATTTCTGCAATCACTCACCGATAAATAGGTAATATTTATAAACAATGAATTCCCCACCCAAACAGGAAAGCTAGTACCTCCATAATGCTTGATGGTCAATCTCTTTAAATTTGTTGAAGGCCGCAACATGTTAAGTACATCTTTCACAGTTTGTGAATCTTCAACATCACAATCCCATTCCAACACTAACTCCTCAATCTTCTCTCTCCTCTGCAAGTTTGAATCCAAAGCATCCATAGAATCAACAACATTTTGCAGCTTCAAAATAGAAAGTTTACCTTGTAGATGAGGAAGCCTTTTCAACTCTTTAATTCCCAATCCACCTGGCTGTTTTCCAACCAAAAAGGTACTCAAGGTTTGAAGATTCTGTAGTTTTGTAATTTGAGTGGGCATCTCATTCAAAGCAGTTCCGCTAATGTCCAGATGACGTAAATTGACAAGGTTTTCTATCTTTTCTGGAATTTCATTAAAATTCACACAACTTGATAAAAGCAATGTCTGCAGGTTGTAAAGGGTAAAGACTGCATCAGGCAAACTTCTAATTGAAGTATAGGAAAGGTTGAGATATCGTAGATGTAGCACATTGCCAATTGAATTTGGTACCTCAATGACATTTCTGTACCCTGATAAGGACAATGCTCTTAGGCATTTTAGTTTTGTCAACAAATCAGGGAGCAACTTTTTGGGCAAAACACAAAATATGTGCCCGTCTCTAAATTCATTTTGTGTCAAAAGAGTCCTCAAATAGTTTAGACGGCAAAAGCTCTCAAATTCTCTATACCTGTTATATTCTTTTAGGGAAAACAATAAATGTCGTGCAGATTGTGGGACATCATTTCCCTCAAATTGAACATAATTCTTGCCAGCTACAAATTTGGCTAAATCGTTGATGAGATCGTGCATGACAAACTTTTTTGGATTACTACCATACTGTTGAAAGAATGACCGTGATAGTAATTCATTGAAGTAATCTTCTACTTCTGCCTCTAATGTCTCCTCCCCATGGAATTGTTGCACAACACCTTCAGCCATCCATAACAATACCAATTTCTTTTTCTCCAACACAAGATCTTTTGGAAAAATGGAGCAATAAGCAAAACATTTTTTCAAATGTGATGGAAGATAGAGATAACTCAAACGCAAAGCAGGAAGAACATTAGCAATTGATATCTCCCACTGCTTGCTATTCAGAATTTTATTCCATTCCTTTGCGTCCACTTTTGAACGCAAAAGACCTCCTATTGTTTTAGCAGCAAGTGGGAGACCACCACATTTTCTCGCAATTTTCCTTCCAATCGCTTCTAGCTCTGGATATTTGTTTGGATCTTCATTTGCAAATGCATGCTTGGAGAGTAAAAACCAACAATTATCATTTGAGAGAAGACTCAATTCAAGTACGGGAAATGTATGTGTCATTTGAGCAACTCTTTGTTCACGAGTTGTCACAATGATTTTGCTTCCCGTTCTTCCTTTACAAAAAGGAGATATGAGATCAACCCAATCATTGTAGTTTTCATTCCATAAGTCGTCCAACACAATCAAAAACCTTCTATTACTCAGGCCATTTCTTAATTCAACACGAAGAAGGTCTAGATTTTTACCATTGTAGACTTTTTTAGTGATGGACTCAAAAAGATTCTTGGTCACCTCCAGAATATTAAAATCATCCGAAACACAAGCCCAAGCCTTCAAATCAAAATGCTCCTGGACCTTCTTATCATTATAGAGGAGTTGAGCGAGGGTAGTTTTACCCAGGCCACCCATACCCCAGATAGTGACCACTCCTACATCAGTTGGATTTGGATCTCCATCACACAGAAGCATTTTCAATAGTTTCTCCTTATCATCCTCTCTACCAACCACAACAGATTCATTTACCAATGATGTTGTGGGTGTTTTATGCGCTTTGAAGCTAACACTTTGCAAACCAAGGATATCCTTTCGTTTGACAAAGTGTTCAAGCCTTCGAGATGTTGCTTCTAGCTTGGAGTTCAACCCCCGGTAAAATTGACCAAAAGAAGAAGAAAGGAAGGATCGCACCTTGTTAGCCGCATTTTGTGAATCTTGCTCCACCTTGCATCTCAGAGACTCAGTGTTGATCTCATCTAGCAAATCCTCTGCATCATAGATAGCATCTTTCAACTCTTCAAGCCATTCCTTAACCTCAGGACGGGTGATCTGTTTCTCCTCTGCATCATTAAGGACAGCACCTAGCATCAGCAGAGTAATCTTCAGCTCATCCAAGAGAGAGACGTTGAGCTTTCTATTTTTCACGAAATCTCGAAACTCCCTTGAGGAAATCAGGTCGAGTAAGGTCTGC